CCGGCCCGTCTCTGCAGCCATTCCCGGTGCTCTCCTTGGGAGGTGTGCTTCGAGAACGGAGTGGGGGCATGGGGGCTTCCTAAGTACCTCCGTGTACACCTGCTGTGCTAGACACCTCAGACTCCACCTCACATGGACTATCAAGCTGCTGAGAAGGGCATTAACTACCCCACTTACCGGATGGAGAAAACAGGTCCAGATAATCACTGCCAGAGCCAGGACTGGAATCTGGTTCTGCCCGACTAGGAAACCAGTGGTATTTTCAATGTACCAAGGTGAAAAAGACACCCTCCCTACATGTATGCATTTCTGAGTTTGCAATGCACTGTATATATGATCGCTTCTCCCTTCTTGAAGACAGGGCTTACTTTTTAGTGATCTGTCTCTGGGTTTTTATCCAAAGTGAGTAGACATGCATTTCATGGTCCCTTTTGTGACTCAAAGCCTTAGTAAGGAGAATATATCTTAAATAGGAAAGGGCTCAGGGGCATATCTACCTTGCTAAAAGAACCACCCACATGTCCCATCGCACTTCAACCAGCTCCTCACACACACACGTTCTCTCTGTCTATCACTCTCTCTCTCACTCCTCTGGCACCTCGCAGGGCTGCTTCTTCCTGACTCCTCCCTGCCAGTCCACATCTCAGTCTCCTGCTGGCGTTAACTTGCTTTGGGCTTAGCCTGTTTCTTGGACGTACCTCCCTCTAGCCAGAACTCTGCTCTAGCCCCCAACCCCAAGGACCCAGCTGCACAGCCTTATACCCGCCATTCAGGACTAGGGCATACAACCCACACATACAGCTCACGAAGTTTAACACCGGCATGGCTGATCCTACCCTGGACTCATGCCAGAGACATCAGGATCTTAGCAAGAGACAGTACTATAATCCTAACTCCTGGTTTCTCAGCCTGACCGTGAATTTTAGGCCATGGCTCGTCGGTACAGCAAAACCCAGACTTTTCCTGCCAAGCCAAGTCTAGCTCACACTGACCTCACCACTCACTTCTGGCTTGCTAGTGTGTGGAGTTCAACTGTTCAAATGCCTGGACTGGCCACATAAAACGGCCAGGTGTGACCCTGAATGTAGCAGCCCTTCTACTAAACCATTAGCTCTACGAAACCAGAAAACTCACCCAATCCACAGGGGCCAGGTCTGGGACACATTCCGTCATTTCCCCAGGACAGATTTGACTTTGAGCTCCTCTAGAACTTCAAAGCCAGGCGCAGATGTGGTGCATCAGACCCTGAGTCTGTAGAGCCTGCCGAGCTAGAGAGCTTTCCTCCCAGATGTGCTGCCCTGATGCTAAAAGTATCCTACTAATTAAAAGAGAGAAAAAAAACCTGTTTACAGATGGGTAATGTGTATCACTACTCTACTCAAACCCAGGGGAGAAAAATAATTCATGTGGAAGAGGAGACCATCAATCAATATTAAGATCTAGATCAAACTCTTAGCATCTTGTTCCAGTGCTAAGGAGGAAATATAAACAGCAGCAACCACAGGAATGACAAATTACCTCTAAACAACAGAGCAGTGCATCCACGTTTACTCCCGGTGACAAGAACACTGACTTTCTGACATAACGAGGTGCAGACTGGCCTGCAACTGAGAAGCCCATCCTTCAGAGGGGTGGAAACAGGCTGTTTTGGGGGGCTGAAAACACTAATGAGCATGAAGTCTGGACTCCAGGGAAAACTTCAACCTGGGCCCACAGTCAACTCAGAGCCACAGTTTACTCTTCTGGGAAATGAACATGGCACTGCTTGAAGAACAGAGCAGCCAGGGACCAGTAGTTAGCATAATGGCTATGTCACTGGACTCCCATGTAGTCGACCGCAGTTCAAGTCCTGGACCTGGTGGCTTAAACTCACGCTGGGTGTGTGTGTGTGCGTGCACATGCCCAAGATCCCCAGAGGAGAACAGACAGGAGAACAGAGGAGAAGGGATTGCGGCGTGGCCATCCAACCGGGGTGATTTCTCACTTTCTATCTCTCTGTCTCTGTCTGTCTTTCTGGTGAGTACACGCACCCCATAGCAAATCCTCTCAAAATGAAAAAAGAACAGAGCAGCCCACTGCAACAGGAGGCTCATGGGCCTTTAAGCAAACCTAGATCTGAACAGTCACTCCAGAAACAGAGTTACTTAACCTCCCCGTGGTGGTCTAACCGTGAGAACGCCCACTTCACAGGGCTGCTGCAAGAGCAGGGACCGCCAATGGGTGTTCACTGCAGGGCCAAACAATAACTGAAAGTGTTAGAACCAACAGTGTTTGATTGTGTGTTTCTTCTTTACATTTCATTACATTCTCGGTGTCATCCAGAACTTGTCTACAAGTGCTTTGTGGAATGAGGCCGCGCACACACACACACTCCTAACACGGAGTGGTCAGGGTTCGGGACTGCCGGAGCCCAAGCACTTTCAGGCCTGTCTCTCCCTCATGGGAGGTGAGCACATTGCACAGTACAGTTACAACACTTAAACTCTATTTTTGAGATTTTAAAACATAAAAACTGTCACATCATCTTTTTGCAATAATATAAACCCTAGTAATATTTACCATAATTTTAGAAACACCATACTTTAAAAAAGTTTTATTAAATGCTCAACTCTCAAAATTATAAATATTTCCTTTATAATTATTAAAAAACCTCCATTCCCCCCCCTTCCCTACCCCTCCCTCCAAAGTAAGTACAGTCTAAGCAGTATGAGGCTCAACAAAGTCCACCATATCTCACCGGTTTAGGAAGACGGGGGCCCCCAGAGGACAAGGGACGCCGGGGTCATTACCCCGATCATTAGCTAACTTATACTATAGCAGAAAGAACAAAAACAGCTAACACAAAAAACAGAAATGGAAATGGAATGGGCAGCCTAACAAACCTTTCATAATTTATACCAATTTACAAATATTTAGGGTGTCCACCAACTCCAAGACAGCAGACGAAGCTAACTGTACGCAGGAAGCCCTCCACCAGGGCCTCCCACCTGCGTCGTCTCAGGAATCATTAGGAAGCCCAAACAGCTTCACGGTCCCAGCTTCCCGACTGCTGTCATATTTGCCATCTTTGTCATCACAGGCAAATGCCAGCAGAGGCCTTTTGGGGTGCCAGGCCACAGTGAAGGTCGGGGACTCACACTGCACCTCCCATAGCTTGTCTCCTATAGAAATCAATACAGAGAAACCAATCAACACATTAATAAGGGTTAGTATGCATCAAGTACTCACCTACATCAACTCACTTAATCCTACGAGACAGGTAGGAACCTCGCTTTACAGCGAGCACAGAGGCAGAGCACGAGCAAACAAGCCAGCGGATAGCAAAGGAGGACCTGAACAAAGGCAGGTGAGCTGAGGTGCCCGTGCTCTGAACCCGTTACGCCCCTTGGAAACAATACCAGAAGCTACCATAGCCGAGCACCAGCAAGTATCAGACGGGTCGTACTTTACAAACTGCCAGCAGTTAGAAAGAAACAGCTGACTTAACAAAGCCATGCCTCAAAATAAGAGCAGAGTTAGCATAAGAAGTCAATCTGTTTCCAAAGCCACAGATCTTTCTCTTTTTTTTAAGAGATTTTTAGCTATCAGGCACGTGTGCTCGCCAGAGAGACAGAGACAGAAAGTGAGAAATCACCCCCCCAGAGGGATGGCCACACCACTATCCCTCCTCCTCCATCCTCCTCTCGGGATTTCGGGCACGCACGCACATGCATACAGAGTGAATTTTAAGCTGCTGGGTCTGAGACTTGACTATGTGGGAGTCCAGCGACATAACCATTATGCCATCTGCTGGTCCCGAGCCACAGATCTTTCTACTAAAACACAGTGCCTTACAAATATTTCTAACTTTTCTTTCTCCTACTTGCTGAAATTATATATGGTTTTCCCAAAGCTCCTTTTCCTTCAGTTCTGCTTTTTCTTCCAACCTTAAGGGTTATGATTAATGTAGTAATCACACTGGACTAAAAAGTAACGCATAATCTCTCAGTGACACACAGTACTGACTGAGAGACTGATGTTACGATTCCAGCCTGTTCAAAGTTTAAACAGACTGATGCAATATTATGGTCTATCTGAAAATCTGAAGTAACTGGACTGCATTAAAATGAGGTTTTGTTGGGGCCAGCAGCTGGCATGGTGATTAAGGCACTGGACTCTCACACAGCCAACCACATCTGAGTCCCAGATCTGGAGGCTTGCATGTGCAAGCGTGCCCAAAGTTCCAGGAGAATGCAGAAGAAGGGATGGTGGCGTGGCTATCCCTACTGGGGGGTGACCTGCTCACCTTCCCGCTCACTGTCTCTCACTCTCTCTCTGGCAAGCAAAAACCTTAAAAAAAAAAATTTTTTTTAAATGAAGTTCTGTCATATATGCTATCAGGAAAAAAATTCAAATTCTTACTTTGTTTTAAATTTAACCACTGAAAATATGCAGGACACAAAGCTGTTTCTAACAGATACAATAACATTAAAAAAGACATATATGGAAGGGAAAGAACTGGAAAGAAAAACAGTCATGTATCATTTAACAACAGGGATATTTTCTTTTTCTTTTCTCTTTTTTATTTTTGGAGAGGTTTTTGCTATAGAGCACATGTGCTCACCAGAAAGACAAAGACAGAGAAAAGAAAGTGAGAAAGCCCCCCCCAGGGGGATAGCCATGCCACAATCCCTTCTCCTCCATTCTTCTCTCGGGATCTTAGGCACGCACACACATGCGCCCGGCATGAGTTTAAGCTGCTAGGTCTGGGACTCGAACTGCGGTCAGCTACATGGGAATCCTGCGACAGCCATTACGCCATCTGCTGGTCACAATTTTCTTTTCTTTTTTTTTTTTTAAAGAGTGATTTTTGCTATAGGGTATGTGCACTAACCAGACAGAGAGACAGAAAATGAGAAATAACCCCCTGGGAGGAAGGCCGCACTGCAATCCCTTCTCCATTCTCCTCTCGGGATTTTAGGCAGGCATACACATGAGCTTGGCGTGAGTTTTAAGTTACAAAGTCTAGGACTCGAACCATAGTCACCTATGTGGGAGTCCAGTGACATAACCATTACGCCATCTGCTAGTCCCAACAACAGGGGTGTTTCCTAAAGACTGTCATTAGGCACAGAGCCTGTCGTGCCAACACTGTACTTACATAAAACACAGAAGGCATATAGCCTACGGCAGACCTAGCGACACGGCACAGCCCGTGCTCCCCGCGGAAGCACCGTCATGCACTCCGTCACTGACTGAAACACCGTCATGCGGCGCGTCACCGTACACCAGCATATCGGCAACGCTGACTTCTAAATTATGGACCTATAGGTAACTGCCACTTTCTTCTTTATATGTGCAAACACTTCCTGAATATTCTATCACGCACACGTGTTAATTTACAAATTAGCGAGTGAAGACATGCTTAATGCACACAGCCCGGTAAGTGCAAGGGTACAGAGCAGTGCTGTGTGACAGAAGCTGTGACGGAAAAACCCACTCCACACTGGCCAGCGTGGTAGCCCCGCACGTGAACTGCGGACTCCTTCAGTGTCCAGGGTGACTAAGGAGCTGAGATTTTTGTTTAATGGATTTCAGTAATATTTAAAAATTAAATTAACAATTTAAGTAAACATTTATCTATTTTTTTTTTAATTTGCTATAAGTCATGTACACTCACTGAAGAGACAGAAAGTGACAAAGCACCTCCAGGGGGAATGACCACACTGCAATCCCTTCTCCACTCTCCTCTTGGGATACTAGACTTGCACACACATGCACTCACCATGTTTTTCTAGCCTCTGGCTCCAAGACTCAAGGGAAGAGTCGGCCATGTGGGACACGCAGACCTCAACCATCACACAACCAGACCGGCCCTATCTTTTTCAACGTAGCATAGCCTTTGCCTGATCTTCTAAGTCTGACCAAAATTCTTCCAATGGGACTAGCAGTTGGCGTAATGGCTATGTCACTGGACTCCCATGTAGTTGACCGCGGTTCGAGTCCCGGACCTAGTGGCTTAAATTCATGCCAGGTACATATACATGTGTGCCCAAGATCCCAAGAAGAGACTGGAGAAGGGACTGCGGCATGGCCATCCCCCCTGGAGAGGGGTGATTTCTGTCTGTCTTCTGTCTTTCTGTCGAGCGCACGCACCCTATAGGAAAAACCTCTCCGGGGGGGAAAAAGAAAAAGGAAAAGAAAAAGAAAAAATTCTTCCAGAAGTATTCCTACAAATTTAGCTTTGAGGGGCCAGTAGGTGGTGTGGCGGTTAAGGGCTCTGGACCCCCACATGGCCGACTGCAGTTTGAGTCCTGGACCTGGCAACTTGCTTTCTCGCATTCTCACTCTCTCTCTCTCTTACTCTATCCCTCTCTGGTCAAATCAAAAATAAATAAAGTTAATTAATTCTTAAAAAAATTATACAAATTTAGCTTTGGTCTTTTTACCAAACAGGAACACGTCACACACAGAGACCAGCCTCTTGCTTTGCCCATTCAGTAAAATGCTCTGCAGATCTGTCGTTCAGCACACAACGGCCAGTTCTTCCTCTTGGCACAGGAGAAAAATGTCAATTACTTAATTATCCGACCCCAAGAGGAAAACTTAGATGGCTTCTCCTTTATGCATAAAACAATGCTTAAAAAAAATTATGCTTTACTATGATAATAAATTTTAGTTTTTAACTGAATTACAGAGAAAGTGAAAAAATATGTTAAAAATATTCTGTCCAACTGTTAAGAAAAAGTAACGTAGCCACACCTGATATATTCCTGAGAGGCTGCATGTATTAAATCATGCTATATGCATTACATAAGGTAGGCCAAGACAAGGGGCTTGCACAAAGATGGCATCAGAAAGCACATACACCCATGCACCGCTGGCGAAAAGCAGACACTGAAATAACCTTTCTGCGGGGGGTGCAGCCCTCTGCAAAATATGAACACCTTTGACTCAGCAATCCAACTTCAATGGTTTACCCAAAAGGATGATCACACACATAAAACTAAGTACACAATGGATACTCATCACATCATTATTTATAATAGCACAAAAATTAAAAGCCACCTAATAGTTGGGTGGTAAAGTATACTCTTGATATATTCAACGAAATTCTTTTTTTAAAAAAGAATTATTTAACATTATTTATTATTATTATCCAGTTTGATCAGAGAGAGACAGAGAAAGAGAGAGAGAGAAAGTGAGAAAGCAAGCCGCCAGGTCCAGGACTCGAACCATGGTTGACCATGTGGGAATCCAGCACCTTTAACCACCACGCCACCTGCCGGCCCCTTCAATGAAATTCTAAATGACCATTAAAAGTGACTAAGTAGGGGCCATCTTATGGCATGAAAGTGAAAGCAGCTGAGTCCCACATGGCTGACTACACGATTCAAGTCCCAAACCAGCAGCTGAGGAAACACATGTGCATGCATGCCCCAAATCCTGAAAGGAGAAAGAAATGGAGAAGGGATTATGATGTGACCATTCCTACTAGAGTATGCTCGCTCGCTCGCTCTCTCTCTCTCTCGTACATGCACCCTCTGGCAAATTAAAAAACAATACAACACCAAAAAAAAAGGTGACTGAATAAGGGCCAGTTCATAGCCTACTAGTAAAGGCACCCAGATGAATCCCACAAGGCTGACCAGCGGTTCAAGTCCTGGATCGTGGGCACACATGCACACATGACCCAAATCCCAACAAGATGAAGAAATGGAGAAGGGATTGTGGAGTGACCGCGTCCCATAGAGAGTGCTTTCTCCTTCTCGCTCTTTGTTCGTCTCTGGTAAGTACACACACCTCTGGCATAATTTTTTTTAAGTGACAAAAAAGAGCTCTGGAACACTGCCATGGGAAGGAAGTGCAACCTCCTGCTGGGGGGACGAGCGTGTCAGAGTGGCAGGAAAGTGCCATGCGCCGTGGATACAGGGCTGCGTAAGGTTCAGCACCGCTGGACAGCGGGACGGTCTCACCACGGCGCTATCACAGAGGCATTCTTTAAATACTACAACTTCAGGTTCCTAATTTCCTCCTGGGAAGTTTCTATATACTTTGAATTCTTTAACTATAAGAATCACATATGTCCAAAAATAAAGGTATGTTTAAAAACAAACTTGGCTGGCCCCACAGCAGTGATTAAGCACTACGCACAGGGAGCCTGATCCTACAGAGCTGACCACAGTTCAAATCTTGGCCCTAACAGCTTGAAAAACATGCCAGGCACAGGTGTGTGCATACCCCACGATCTGACAGGATGGAGAAATGGGGAAAGAGGACCGCGGTGTGACTACATGCCAATGGGGAGACTTTCTCTGGCGAGCACATGTACCCTCTGGTGGTAAAGCTGTGGGGTGGCTCCACACACGATGGAAATGCACTCATCAAGAGAGGCCGGCTCCCACACAGTGACCTCGGCTGGAATACGTGGGCCAGGCGGCCTGAAACACAGCAGGAAGGCACGCAAGTACCCAGGATCCACCAGGCTGGAGAACTGGAGGAAGAGGATCACGGCCCCACCAGACTCTGTGCAGGGTGCACATCCTTCTCCATCCATGTGTGCATGCATGTGCTCTATCATGAATAAAGAAAAGAATAAGCCTGAGGAGACTTACGGAAAATGAAAATTCATTTTTTTTTAAGAGAGATTTTTGCTATAGGGTAAGTGCATTCCCTGGCGACAGAGAGATGGAAAGTGAGAAATCAACCCTGGGAGGGCGGGGGTGGTGGCCACACCTCAATCCCTTCTCCTCCATTCTCCTCTTGGGATCTTGGGCACACATGCACACACGCCCAGTATGAGTTCTAAGACGCCAGATCTGGGACTCAAATTGTGTTCAACTACGAGGGAGTCCAGCAACATAGCTGCCCTCTCTCCTCCCATTTTGTTATTTCCAACTTATGATTTGTTGTTTTTAAAGCAAATCTTTTATAATTCTTTAAATTAAAAAAAAGTTCCAATATTATATATAAGCAAAATAAAATACTTGGGAAAGTTGTATTTAGAGCCAGCAGGTGACACAAAGTTAAGGCAGCTGGATCCCACATGGCCAATCATGTGGTTCACATCCCAGACCCAGATACTTGAGACACACACCAGACACCTGTGCCCGTGTCGAAAATCCCAAGAAGAGAATGGAGAAGGGGCTGTGGCATGACCATGCCCCATGAGGGGGTGCTTCCTCCCTCTCCCTCTCTTTTTGGCAAGCACAAACACCCTATAGCAAATTATATTAAAAATTTTAAAATAAAAAGTTAGGAACCAGTAGATGGCATAATGGTTATGTCACATATGTGTATGTATGTATGTATGTTCCTAAATCACTTTCCTTCTGATCTGCCTGTTTCGTTCCTAACTCTTTGCTTCCTCACTGCCTGTCAGTGACAGTCATAACACAACCTTGTGTTAAGGAGAGAAATCACTTACACCGCTGACTGAATAGTCATGTTCAGAGATGAAAACACATGCCAAGAGTCCTAATGGGCAAGGATCAAAGACAGGAGATTCTCCGTAAGTTACCTGTCTCTACTTCAGCTATGTCAATAAAATGATCTTCTGATGCTGATGCCAACATTTTCCCATCATGGCTGAAACTGAGCGTCCTCACGGGCCAATCCAGCCTATAACGTGAGGTGGACAGAGGAGACATTAGGATTACCGAAGAAGAGGACTGTACAGTTTCACCCAGGATGAAATAAAATTAATCCGCCCAACAAGGAAAGTGCTGGTAGAGTCGCTTACCTGGAAAAGCAACGGACACAAACTAACTCGTCTACGTCCCAGAGGCTGACCAGCGCATCTGCACTTCCTGTAGCAAAGTACTTCCCCGTGGGGTCGAACTTGATGCAGATGCAGTTGGAAGGGTGAGCATTGATAGACTGCACAGGCTTCAGCTCTGGGTAGCTGAGAAATGAGATGAAATAGACTCAGACTGCAGGAGAGGACTAAGACAATAAAAGGAAACACTGAAGAAAAAAAAACAAGTAAGACAACAGAATAATACCCAACATAAATTTGAGAAAACTTTCCTGAAGTAAAAGACTTCACACTGAGAGGGGGGCCACCCAGCGGCACGATGGTTAAAGCAGCTGGGTTTCACATGGCTAACAGTGCAGCTTGAGTCTCGGAAACAATGGCTTGAAGAACATGCCAGGCAGATATGCATGCATACCCAAAATCCCAAAAGGAGGAAGAAATGGAGAAGAGATTGTGATGAGTCCATTTCCTTTTGGCGGGCGGAGGGGGGCTCTCACTCTCATAGACCCCTTCTGAAGAACCTTAACTATAAAGTAACCTTGGACAATTAAAATGACCAGAGACATGAGCACAAGAGCAGCAACAAACATTAAATATACAATTTCTTATAGTCCCTTTTTTTTTTTTTTGGAGAGGTTTTTGCTATAGGGCATGCGTGCTCGCCAGAAAGACAGAGACAGAAAACAAGAAATCTCCCCTCCCAGAGAGGATGGCCACGCTGCAATCCCTTCTCCTCCATTCTCCTCTCAGGATCTTGGGCACGCGCGCACGCGCCCAGCATGAGTTTAAACCACAGTCAACTACATGGGAGTCCAGCCACCCATGGTGGTTGAGGCAGCTAGATTCTACATGGCCGACTGCGGTGTAAGTGATTTCTCTCCTTAAGACAAGTTTGTGTTATGACTGTTGTTGACAGGCAGTGAGGAAGCAAAGAGTTAGGAATGAAACAGGCAGATCAGAAGGAAAGTGACTTAGGAACATACAAACATACATACACACCCACACACATATATGTGACGTAACCATTATGCCACCTACTGGTTCCCAACTTTTTATTTTAGAATTTTTTTTAAAGAATTATTTATTTATTTATTTATTTATTTCCATTTGTTTTGTTTTGTTTTGTTTTTTCTTTATTTGACGAGAGAGAGAGAAAGGGAAAGTGAGAAAGTAAGCCACCAGGTCCAGGACTTGAACCATGGTTGGCCATGTGGGAATCCAGCGCCCTTATCCACCACACCACCTGCTGGCCCCTATTTTAAAATTTCTAACATGGTTCAAATTCCAGACCCAGCAGATTGAAAAACACATCAGGTACATGTACATGCGTGCCCAAAATCCCAAGAGGAGAGTGGAGGAGATGGGATTACAGTGTGGCCATCCCCACTATGGGGTATTTTTCTCACTTTCCCTCTCTCCCTCTCTCTGGTAAGCAGACCCACCCTCTGATAAAATTTAAATAATTAGACAAATATGCCATATATAATCAGCGAAATATTAACTAGGAGAATCTCCAGGTTAACAGTCTGTTTTTAAACAGCTAAGTTATAATGAAAACAAAGGGATGCAGGGAGACCCTGTAGTTTAACAAATGAAAAGACGTCATTTTTCTTAAATGAGGAAAACAAGAGTATCTAGAGATACTCTACTTTGTAGACAACACTACAAAGAAACACTGTGAAAGTCAAGATAGCGTGTACTTCTGAGGGAGAGATTTGTGATTAAGACAAAACACAGGTGGGGAGCAGCAGATGGTGCAATGGCTATGTCGCTGAACTCCCATGTGTAATCGACCATGGTTCAAGTCCCGGACCCAGTGGCTTAAACTCAAGCCAGGCGTGTGTGCGTGCATGCCCAAGATCCCTAGAGGAGAATGGTGAAGGGATTGTGATGTGGCCATTCCTCTGGGGGTTATTTCTGGCTTTCTGCCTCACTGTCTCTCTGGCTTTCTGGCAAGCGCACATGCCCTATAGCAAAAATCTCTCAAAAAACAAACAAACATAAAAACACAGGTGGACTTCTGGGGTACTAGAAAGTACTAATTTTCAGCCTGGGTGGGGTTACATAGATGCTAAGCATTAATAGCTCATTAAGCTATACACTTGTTTTACATGGTTTTTAAAATCAGTGTTTTATAATAGAAAGTGATTTTAAAGATACAGAATCAACACTAACCATAAAATAAATTCTCAGTTTCTAAGGATAAAATCTATGGCCTTTTATAATCTGGTCCCAAATTATATTTCAACTTTATCTTCCCATTATCATGGCTTCTCTTCTCAAACCTTACCCATCACCACTCTCCAGCATCCCTGACCTAACTACTTTCCAAGTAAGTCATGCTCACTCATACCTGTTTTGTTAATTGTGTGGTTCCCTTTTGGTTTTCATTGTTTCTCAAGATCAATAGCAGTTTCCTTCGGTTCCCAAAGTCAATAAAGATAGGCTCTTTCCTTGGAGTTCCAGAGCAAACTCCTAGCCTCTCTAGCAGACTCATCTCATTGCCTTATACTGTTCATCCCCGGTGGCGGAAAGAATGGGATCAGAAAGACCTGACTTCCAGTGCCACAATTTTGATGTAGAGACTATTTAGGGAGAGCCTACTAGTGTGTAGCAGATACTGGACTAGGTATTAGGAGTCAACAGTAAACAAGGCAACCACAGTGACCACCATCATGGAATTCAGCCTAGCAAAAGACAGGCAGGTAAACAAACGTGATCACGATACAGAATGACAAGGGCTTGCAACAGGAAGGACATGAAACAAACTCTAACCTACCTCTAACCTACAGGGTGGGGAGGCGTGGCTTCACTGAAGGGAGAGCTGTAGTAGAGCTGAAACTTCAAGGGTACAATTAGCCAGAATTCAAGGTGCACCCAGTTCTAACGCCTCTAGCTGACTACTGACTTAATTTCTTTGGCCTCTCAGGTCCCCATCTGTCAAATGGAAGTATCCTATCAACCCCCTGGAATTTCTGTGAGGATTCAGTAAAATATAAAGTATCTGGCTCGCGGGTGCTCAAAAGAGGTTAAGGTTCTTTATTACTACTTACCTTTACGCTCCTTCGGGGTCTATGGCATCTCTGCATCCACCACAGAACCCAGCACAAACGTGACAGTCCCCTGAGCTAGAACTCTCACCTGAGGATGTTGATGCAACCATTGCCATTTGTCAGGAAGAACATGTTATTGTCATTGTTCCAGGAGATTTCGTTGACCTCAAACTTGAACTGCTCCTCTGCTTTGGAGCGGTGTGTCTTGGCATCAATAAAGGTTACCACGTCATCCTTGTTGCCTACAGCAATGGTCTGCCCGTCAGGACTCCAGCAGATGTTAATGTTCTCCCCTGGGAACCCAGATACAATCAGCAAGGTCATCTGTTTGCCCGTAATCCTCCGTAAATTTACTCTGCTATCTGAGAATGAAGACCAGAGCTATCTTCAGCACTTCATTCACTAAAGTCTTAGTCAATGAAAGGAAACTACCACTTATGAATCACCTATGCCTCCAGCACACTCACCTATTGATACGAGCCAGTGTTAAAGCATCACAGAGTCAAGATTTAAACCCAGATTCCACTGTAAAGCCCCTAATTCTCTTACACCAGCATTCCTCAAACTCCAGTCTTTCACATGATACCTTCACAATTTGTCCTATTCACATACCAGCTATACTTTTGTTTATTCAAGATTTTTCTTAAAATTGACTCAATGGGAGGGGCCAAGAGAGGCCAGCAGGCGCCATGGTGGTGAAGGCACTGGGATTCCCACATGGCCAGTGACAGTTTGAGTCCCAGGCCTGGTGGCTTGCTTGCGCGCACGCTCTCGCGCTCTCTCCCTCTCTTTCTAGCAAAACTCATGTGAAAAAAAGAATAATAAATAAATAAGTCTTTTTTAAAAAATTGACTCAATAGGGCCAACAGGTGGCATGGAGGTCAAGGCAGCAGAATCCCACATGGCCAACTGTTGTGGTTCAAGTCCTGGATCCGACAGCTCATGTCAGATGTGTGTGAATGCATGCCCAAAATCCCAACAGGGAAACGGAGAAGGGATTGCAGCATGGCCGTCCTTCTTGAGGGGTGATTTCCCACTTTATCTCCTTGTCTCTCTCTGGCAAGCGCACAGGTCCTATGACAAAAAGTCTTACAAAAATAAAAGTATCAGGATGCATCTCAAATTTTTGGTGCATCATGGTTATCTACCAACTTTCTTTCTAATGGCACATAAGTTATTGGTGCAACTTATAGTCAATGACATCTTAGAGCCAATTATGATAAATGGTCTTGAGACCTATTGGACAACACTTCATAAGAACAAAGCTTATAAATGTACTGTCGAACTTTCTGGTCATCTTTCTCCCATACCACCAGGACAAGCAAGTTTCGGCCACTTTAAATTTCTCAAATTTTCCATGCCTTTGCACATGCTATTCCCTCCTAGAACTGGCCCCTCCTCACACTCTGCACCGTGACCACTAAATTCCTACGGCCACTCTAGTAGTTTGCTGAGATTTTGTAAGGCCTTCCTTGTCTTCCCTTCTCTCCAATAAAATATATACATTTCCATTTTGGGTATCTCCTCTGCAAGATGAACCCTGTCATGTTATAGTATATTTGGGTATGTCTCTCTGTAGGGAAGGGTGACTTTCAGCTCGGAATGTCCTGTACCCAGCAGAGCACCAGACAGAGAAGAGATCCGCAAAGGGCCGTTGAATATGAGTAGTTCATGTTCCCCACTGCCCCTTCTGAACAGTACCCTTGGTGTTCACAGTAGCAATGCATTTCGTAGTCCTCACGTCCCAGATGCGGATGGTTTTATCTCCAGAGGCTGTGACGAAGAGGTCGGGGTTACTTGGATGCCAACAGAGCTGGTCCACGCTGTCCCCATGTCCCCGATAATTGTTTTCTTTGACCTGAAGAACAGAATCCAGAAGTCACTTCACACAGATGTACCTGCCTCCACATGTAATTTAACCTTATCCAAACACTGTATCCTGGGAGAAAAAAAGATCGGAAAAACGAAAACGATTCCGGTCCTTCCCAATCCTTTCTCCAAAGCTCTCTCCAATATCCCCTCTCTCCTCCCCGGTCATCCCGAACTGTTCCGACCTCCCACACCAGGGCCCTCTTTCCGTCCTCTCCCTTTGCCGCCCTACTCCACCACCAACGCCCCATCACTTCAAGGGGGGCCACCGCCACCCGCCGGTTCCCGCCCGCCGCAGACGCCCGCCTCACCCCGTCCCACCCCGTCCCACCTCACCCCGCCTCACCCCGTTGCACCTGCCCCTTGCGACCACACCCCTCACCACTCCGTTCTGCACTCCTCACACCTCGCGCTCCCGCCTCTCTCCCTCCGCCGCCCCACCGTCACCGCTGACTCAGGCCCGCCCCGGCCGTCCGCGGCCCGGTCCCCGGCCCGGTCCCCCTGCCCTCTCCCTCACCACCACGCCGCGCTTCAGCGCCGCCTCTCCCAGGCCTGGCTAGGCCTGGCAGCTCACCAGCCGGTCCTTCTCCAGCAGGAAGACGCTGGCCGTCTTGTCGAAGGACCCCGAGGCCAGGCGACGGCCGTCGCAGCTCCAGGCCACCGAGTGCACCTTCGCGCTGTGCGCCGGGAACTCGCGCGTCTTGCTGTGGCCCCGGAACAGCTCCTGCATCCCGAGCACGTAGCGCGACGGGCCGCTGCTCACTGAGTACCAGGGCTTTTTTTTTGGCGGTCAGTCCTGGCGCCGCCGCCGCACGCATGCGCCAGGGAGCGCGCGCGCAGCCGCGCTGTGGCCGCCGGACGGACTACAAATCCCGGCAAGCAGCGCGCGCCGCCTTTGCCCTTTAATGGCGTCACCGCCCGCTTCAAATTATTTTACACGGGGCCCGCGGGTAGCACAGTGGTTACGGGCCTGGACTCCCACATGTTTAACTATAGTTCGAGTCCCAGACCTGATGGCTTAAAAAAAAATCCCGAGAGAATTGCAACATGGTCTATGTCCTATAGCAAAACTCTCTCTCTAAAATAAAATAAATTTACTTTATGGGGCCTGCATGAAGCCTGGTGGTTAAGGGCAGTGTACTCCCACATGGCCAAACATGGTTCAATTCCCGGACCTGCTGGCTTGCCTTCTCACTTTCCCACTCTCTCTTTCTCTCAGTCTGTCCCTCTTTGGTCAAAATACATAATTAGTTAAATAAAATAATTATTTTGTTAAAATTAATTTACTTCACAATTCTGAGTTTTTTGGGTAAGCAGTGAACTTGGCTGTTGACATTTGGGCAGTAGGTACTACAGTGGTGGGGCAGTAAAATAGCTCTTGCTCTCTGTTCTGTCTAAGTCAGCTCAGGCACGCAGGACACGAGGGGCCGGCACTGCTGGAGGAGACCCTGGGCCAGCTCCCAGCTGGTCAACCCCATCACTGTCCTCTCGGATAGCTAGTCTGAATGAAAGCACAGGAAAAGCCACACCAGGTCCAACCGCTATGGCACAGTAATGGCACAAGGCTGGAAGCCACATGGCAGCCACAGGTTCAGCTCCCCGGTCAGCTTGAAAAACACCGAGCACACATGCCCACACCCAGAACGCTGAAGAGTTGCGGGGCTAGGAACAGGGATCATGGCGTGGTGGAGTCCTCCAGGGGTGCTTCTCTTTCTCTCTCTCGCTCTATTGAGTGCACGCACCACGCGTGTCCTCCAAATCTTTTGTTTTTCAATGAAAATCATCCAGCCTCATCTTTCCAAAGCTCCTCTGGGGGACCTTGACACTAAATTGTTATAAGCCACTTCATTTCAGGATGATTTGTTGCACAGCAATAGAAACCCAGGCCATTCGCCATGCACATCCTTCCTTCGGGATGCAGACCTGGAATTGACGTGGGTCTGACTTACTGAACATTCTCTTAGACTGGCTCAGGTCGAGAGGGACTCAGAGTACAGGCTTTGGAGTCAGATCTCAGCTTCAAAGTGCCTCGTAACTGCTTGAGAATCCGCTGGGAGTTTTATGCCTTTACCCTGAGAAATGGACAGGAGTGCAACCATAAAACATTTTGCAGGTGACTTCGGGGAACTCATGGACACTCTCGAGTAGCTTTCTTGAGCTTCTTGGATACGTGTCTTTCGGGGAGCCCTTTCACTGCTCTGAGTTCTCCCAATTGCCCCTTCTCTATCCATGGCAAAGTGGGAAACAGACTCGAGGTCTGAGCCCCACCTTGCCCCCCTCCTGCATCCCCGCTTGCCTGACTCTCAGATCCTAATTTTCTATGTGCCTTAGTCACCCCAACAGGAAAATGAGATTATTGCTCATTTAATAGAATGAATCGAGTGAGATAGCTAAAGCCCTCAGGAAATGTAAAGCCCTAGAAACGTCTCCCAAGACGTTCCCTCCGCACGCTGCAAATTGCTTTACTGTTTCAATTTCAGCCACAAAAAGCCTCCGCAGGTCTGGGCCTAAGAAGTTCAAGGATAATGTGGGTCAAATCCTGTCTCGGCAAATCCTATTACAGTCCCACTTTCCCGTGTAGAAGAGGCTTCTCTCCACAGCCGCAGCCTCCAGGGGAGGCCCGGCCCATTCGCCTCTGTCTCTGGCTGGTCTAGCACAGAGCCTGGCTCTGTAAGGGCTCTAGGACCAAGTCAAGAATTGCACTGTTTGTGAACCAGCAGGTATCATAGTAGTTAAGGCGCTGGACTCCTACATAGCCAACCATGGTTTGAGTCCTGGACCAGGAAGCTTAAAACTCACGCCGGGTACACATGTGTGCATGCCCAAAACCCAGAGAGGAGAAAGGAGAAGGAACTGTAGTGTGGCCATCCCCCTGGGGGTGATTTCTTGTTTTCTGTCTCTGTTTCTCTCTGTCTCTTTGGCAAGCACATATGTCCTATAGCAAAAAGTCTCAAAAAAAAAAAAGACTTGCAATATTTGGCTCATATTTTTTTTAATTAAATACCAACATTTAAACATTGGGACAGTTTACAGATTGAAACTCAAACTTCCCACAGGAAGGAGAGTCACTATCTGAGTAGGCAGAACACTACAGTCCGCTTGATGGCGATTACCATGCAGAATGTATACAGGCACGTATTTGGCATCTGGTTTGATGTGTCATCCAAAAATTCATGTGTTGATATTTGGTTACCATTGTGTGGGCATGAAAAGGATAGAAACTTAATCTAACTATGGTATTAAGAGGTGAGGCTTGGGGACTGCAGATAGCATGGCGGTTAAGGCACTGGACTCCCACAGGGTCAACTACAGTTCAAATCCTGGACCTGGTGGCTTGCTTTTGCACTCCCCACCACTCTGTTTCTCTCTGGTGAGCACACATGTTCTACAGAAAATTAAAAATAAATAATAATAAATAAAACTAAATAAATATTTTTTAAAACAGTCTAAAAAGAATTTCACTGTAATAAAATTATCCAAAAACATTTCAAAGCCTCAAGGAAAGGACCACATCATCTTCCCAGGGAACACCTGTGCCTCTGGTGTTACCCACCAGTGCCCCACTTGTAACATCCCACACCCCACTTCTCAGAGCTGGGATTGCCTCCCCCACCCGCCAGTCATCCACGCTGCCCACCCTGTAAGCTGAATCCCTCATTCTAAGCTCTTCATGGCTTCAGAATTTATTTCCCCACCTTTCTCTCTCAGAAGGGGGAGGAGCAGGGTTAACCTCACAATCCAGGTGCGATAGGGAGCCACGTGTGCCTACTAGCACCCCAGACCCTGCCACACTCTGCCCCAGCTTTCTCCCTCCAGGCTCCGGCTCTCTGTGCTCCCTGGCCCTCCCCTGTCTCCTCACTGCACCAAGCGGCTAGTCACACCTTATTATCCCAGGGGTATCAGGGGTTTCAGACTCCCAACTCCACAGCTCAGCTCTGGCGAAAACCCCAGTCTCCTGTCTGGTGGGATGCAGCAGGCAGAAGACACCCTCCCTTCTCCTCTAAAGCAGGCTGGGTTGGGGGCACAGGAGTGAGAACCCTGACCCTTGCCAAGCTCCCAGAGTGGTAGCCCTGTGGTCCCAGAAACAGATCTCTCTCTCTCTCTTTATTATTTTTTAGCCCATTTCTGCATTTATTAGAATAGCCACATTCAGAGAGGCACAAAGCACTTGAGTTTTAATGACTGCAAAGTAATCACGAATCCCAACTTTTTAGCCACAGACATCTCACCTACTCCTTTTCAAGAAAAAGCTTTCAAACATCTCAGTTGGCTTAATACACAGAGTCCCTGAATATGTGGGAACTACGTGGTTTAAATGTTCACACGTTCAGCTCTAATAGCGTTTTCTTTAAATGGATCCAGCATAAAGGGACTGGAATGTATAAGGTCATGATGCAAATGCTTTGGAGAGAGTGGCGTTAATCTGCACGACGCAGGAAAAGATGTAGCGGGCTCAGAGGTCCCACCGGGACTCACTGGGCCAGCTGGGCTTCCATGGCTGTGCTGTCCATTCCGGTGCCGGCCGACCGATTTTTTCCAAAAGGTTATTGTGATTGGGTCTGCTCGTCCCAGGCTGGCAGCGCTTCTCGTGTTCCCAGATGAACTACTCCAACCGATCCGGTCAGTGGGTCCACTCATACGTCCCTCTGTTATCATTTGAGATGTTACGTTTTCCGCCTTAGCTACCGGGATCTCTAAAAGCGCTCCAGGTTCTCCAGCGGTGACAGGTATCACATGTAATTTGCTTGCAGACAACAGATTGTGTTCAATAGCGACTCTGTCCAAGACGCTAGAACCATCAGCCGTGGTTGCTTCTGGGGGAGGCATCAGCATGGCGGCAGATTCTTGGAGCTGAGTTCCTCCAACGATCCTGTTCCAGTACATTTTCTCGAGGATCCCGTCAGCAGCAAGCCGCTGGCACCGTTCACCCTCCAAAAGAGCAGCAAGCGCCCGAGACGCCGCTGTCCGCCCGATGCTGACGGTGCGGTGCACAGCATGTCTCATGGCCCCTAGTCCTCACTTACATGGGCTACCGTCCTTTGAGAGTCCAGTGGACCACTCTGCAGCTTCAATGAGCTTTCTCCCATGATCAAGAACATGCACACGGCAGACCTAGGCCGTACCCGTGGCTGGTGCACACGGCAGACCTAGGCCGTACCCGTGGCTGGTGCACACGGCAGACCTAGGCCGTACCGTGGCTGGTGCGCATGGCAGACCT